GACATACTTTCTGCCTCTTCTAACACACCAGTCTGTGGAGGCAGCTGTAATCACCTGGACTGAAGCCTGCCACGAGATCTCTACCACGCAACCGCTTCTGCCCTGGTGAAAATCCCAAATCACTCTGCTGAAAACAACCAGACGTCTTCTCTGAGAGGCACGGCAAACCTGAGGAAATGACTCAATAGCTTAGCTCACATTGCAGATGTATTTATTTAATCCTCTTGCTTAATATGAGAAACAGCAAACCCGGTGCAGCAGTAGAGCGTTAATCAGTAATTTCTTGAACAGGCCTGAAAATAACAATCTGCTGAGTAAAATCATATAGCATCCCAAGGGTTAATGCCATTTAGGAGAGGACGCAGTGGAAACCCTTGGAGGAGTTAGTGATTATAGTGCAAAACCCAAGCTGGGTGACAGCCAGCAGTGGAGCTAGCGGACATGTCACTGCTGCCCCATGGGTCACCCACTGGCAAAATAGCTTTATCCTTATGAATATGGAAAGATAAAATCCAGGGAAGGCCTGAGGTCTTGACTGTTCCCAGACATTACGGTAGTGGGGAAAAAAAAAAAAAAAAAATCACTACTTTTGAAGTGTTTTCTTGACCCACACTAGAGCCTCTCATTTTAATGTTTATTTATTAAGAACCACGGAACAGAGAAATTATTCCTTGGGAGGAAACTAACAAACAAACAAACAAAGATTTTTGCAGTGGTTGTGGGCAGCTGGTGGTTTGCCTGTTTGCAAACCAGAGACCTGGAGTTCTGGGAAAGATCAGAAGGGTTAACCTAAAAGAAGGATGGAAATACTGTCACCCCCCACCTCCAGCGCCGCTGCTGTCGGCCTGGCGGCGGGAGCAGCCAGCCAGCCGCCACCGCTAGCTCCAGGGGGGCCCCCCAGAGCTGTGGGGTCACTCGGGACTGGCGGGTGACCCCCAAATGACCGAGGGGAGCAGCCGCGGAGTGGCGGGGGGGTCCCGGCCTCCTCAGAGCCGCCGCCATCTTCCACTCCTCCGGCCCCGCCGGGCGGCGCCGCAGGCGGCCGACAGGTGGCGCCATTGCGCCGCGGGCGGCGCAGCGCGGGGAGCGGGGCCCCTGAGGCGGCGGCGGGCGGGGCGGGAGGTGAAGTTTTTAAGTTTTTTCCCTCACGCCCTGGGAGAAGCCCTCAAAAATGATACCGAGTAGCGGGGGGGGAAAAAAAAAAAAAACAAAAAAAAACCAAAAAACAAAACAAAAAAAACCCCCAGATTGTTTTCTTTTAAAATTCCTTTTTTTAAAAAAAAAAAAAACGAAAGGGCAAGTAGTCAAACAGCTGTTTTTGTAGCAAAATGGCCCCCGCGCAGAGGTGACATGCAGCAGGGTGGGCCTAGCTGGAGAGCAACCCCTCCCCCTCTGTGACACTTTGCCGTGAGGCCCTCCGTCCTCCTTGCACCTAAACCCAGATCTGCACCTCCCCAAATTAGTCAGCCTCGAAGCACAGTAAGGAAACCTTCAAAGGCACACTGCTGACAGGAGAATGTTAAAACACCTGAGAGCCAGCGCAGGATGATTAGAGATGATCTCCTCAGTGGCATCAGAGCTCCCCTGTCCTGCCTTTTAGGCTGACCTTAAGGCTCCAATATTGAGGGGAGCGAGGAGGCTTTTCCCGCTCAGTCAATACACCTAGCAAGGAGGGGCTGCAAACTCACCTCTTGCAGAGGCAGTGTCTTGGGTTTTCCTCTTTTTTTTTTTCGGCAGCAAAAAGGATCATAACCGTTTTCTGACCAAGACCACAAGGATAGAGGAGGCTCAGCCTCGAAGCCTGGCAGGTATCGCCCCACCAAGCCACAGACAGGAACTTTCCCCGCTCGCGCCTCGAGCTGGTGAGACCTACACCAGCCCAGCCAGGGCCACCTGCTCTGTTGGCGAGGGCACAGCACCCAGCCTGCAGCACCCAGCCTGCGGCACCCATCCTGTGGCACCCAGGCCGTGGCACCCATCCTGTGGCACCCAGACCGTGGCACCCAGCCTGTGGCACCCAGGACGTGGCACCCAGGCCATGGCACCCAGCCTGTGGCACCCAGGACGTGGTACCCAGCCTGTGGCACCCACCCTGTGGCAGCCAGCCTGTGGCACCCACCCTGTGGCACCCAGCCTGTGGCACCCACCCTGTGGCAGCCAGCCTGTGGCACCCAGGCCATGGCACCCAGCCTGTGGTACCCAGGACGTGGCACCCAGGCCATGGCACCCAGCCTGTGGCACCCAGGACGTGGCACCCAGGCCATGGCACCCAGCCTGTGGCACCCAGGCCATGGCACCCAGCCTGTGGCACCCAGCCTGTGGCACCCAGGCCGTGGCACCCAGGCCGTGGCACCCAGCCTGTGGCACCCATCCTGTGGCACCCAGGCCATGGCACCCAGCCTGTGGCACCCATCCTGTGGCACCCAGGCCATGGCACCCAGCCTGTGGCACCCAGCCTGTGGCACCCAGGCCATGGCACCCAGGCCATGGCACCCAGCCTGTGGCACCCAGGACGTGGCACCCAGGCCATGGCACCCAGCCTGTGGTACCCAGGACGTGGCACCCAGGCCATGGCACCCAGCCTGTGGCACCCAGGACGTGGCACCCAGGCCATGGCACCCAGCCTGTGGCACCCAGGCCATGGCACCCAGCCTGTGGCACCCAGCCTGTGGCACCCAGGCCGTGGCACCCAGGCCGTGGCACCCAGCCTGTGGCACCCATCCTGTGGCACCCAGGCCATGGCACCCAGCCTGTGGCACCCATCCTGTGGCACCCAGGCCATGGCACCCAGCCTGTGGCACCCAGCCTGTGGCACCCAGGCCATGGCACCCAGGCCATGGCACCCAGCCTGTGGCACCCAGGACGTGGCACCCAGGCCATGGCACCCAGCCTGTGGCACCCAGGACGTGGCACCCAGGCCATGGCACCCAGCCTGTGGCACCCAGGACGTGGCACCCAGGCCGTGGCACCCAGCCTGTGGCACCCATCCTGTGGCACCCAGGCCATGGCACCCAGCCTGTGGCACCCAGGCCGTGGCACCCAGCCTGTGGCACCCAGGACGTGGCACCCAGGCCGTGGCACCCAGGACGTGGCACCCAGTCTGTGGCACCCACCCTGTGGCAGCCAGCCTGTGGCAGCCAGCCTGTGGCACCCAGGCCGTGGCACCCAGGCATGCCCACGGCTGCTCTCTCTCTCGGAGGTGGCCAGCCGCCCCTTCTCCCTGCCGAGCCCCACAGCAGGGCCAAGGCTGTGCTGTCACCCTCACCCACAGAACCCTGTGTGCTTTCCCGGCTCAGAATACACCTCCCTACCCGGTCGGCACCAAGCACAGCCATTTGCAGTCATGGCTCCTGTGCCAGGAATAGCAACGGCACCCGCTTTCTGCTAAATAAGCTGTGCAGGTAGTCCTCTTCCACTGCAGACTGCTTGCAGGCACGTCCTGGCCCCATCTGGCATCAAGGGCTTGAAGATTTTTAAAAGCACTTCATGAGTAAGAATAGCCCCTTGATACCCACAGGTCTGCCGCCTTTCACACTTAAAGGCAAATTGGACGCTTGCGTCCCTTTGTCCACCTAAAATAAAGCTATGTGTGCTTGTACACATGCTGGGTGCAGTGTGTCAGATGGTTTTGGGGTACAGCTAGCAGCAACTCCATCCCAAAAGCATCCAGAGCTGCACTGCTGTGGTAGCACAGTGCTACCGATCCGTGAGATGGGACCTGCACATTTGCATGGAGGATGAACAAGAAGGACCAGTAAAACGTGTGTGGGTCATACTGACAGCCTGTCCCACACTCCCAGTACCTTTCCAGTCAGAGCAGGAATAAACACAACACCCACCTGCAACACAACATGCCCGGCAGCACACACATTCTCAGGGGACCCTTTACATCGATCCACATTAAAAAAAAAAAAAAAAATTAAAAAAAAAAAAAAAAAAAGGAAGGTACTATTTAAAGAGCAGGTTCTGACACTGAGGTTTTAGTGGTGATCAGCAGCACCTCCACCCTGACCAAGAAAGGAAAGGTCTTGCCTCCAAGTGGCAGCTTCAGAGAAAGCAGTAAGAGAGCTGGCAGCCGGGAAGCTGCGAGCTTCTGTGGGAGCTTCCCTCCTGACCCGCTGCTGGAGGTTAGCTGGGCCTCGATGCTGCAGCATTTATCTTTGCCAGTCTCATTCCTAAGTCTACTGGCCTCTTCCCAATTCTGCCCAGGCACAGAGCTGTAGCACGGAGCCTTGCTGTGCTCAGTGTGCAAAGGGCATTGCTGCGGTCCGGGATAAAAACACCCCGTGCCATGGCACTGCTCTGCCTGCCACTTGGCCGCCTGGAGAAATAACGGGACCTTCCCTAAAATCTCTGCCCTCTATCAAAAAAGCTCTTTCTCCCTCCAGCACCCAGCTCATTTCTCTCATCTCTGACGTGAGCGAACTCCTCCTGGCGCTAGGCAGTGCCTACAGCCAGGCAGCACGGTGCCCCCAGCATGGCACATTTTACGGCAGAACAAGAGCTGGCTGCATGGGGCAGGGTTCCCAGCCCTGTGCCGCCTGGGTCTTTTCCCAGACTTACCAAAACTGCCTGCTTTCCAGCAGTAGCAAGAGTGGTGAGTTTAAGTCACAGCATGCCATGCAGATCCGGGGATTATATCTACTCTGTGGCTTCCCAATACCGCACACACACTGCTTTAAGAAATCCCTTAAAAATGGCTGCTTCAAAATAACCTTTATCCACCACTGACCCTAAAGACAACACAAAACAAAATGCCCTTACAAAACAAATCCTTACATTTCAGCCTAGCAAAGCATCGAAGTGCGCAGCAAAGCCAAGACAAACACAGCACTGCTCTCTCCTGAAAACGTACGTGGTTTGAAAACCTCCGTTGTTGCTCTATCCCAGGAAAATGATTCATCCTCCCCGCGGGGTTTTGACTTGCCTCTGCACGTTTCGCAACACTGCCTGGCTTTATAATGGCGTGGTTGCACGCCGTGACTCCTAGCAGACTTCTCTGCTCACTTGCAAGCGAGGAGGCGGCGGCGGTGGCTAATCCTTCTAACGATGATTTTCTCCTTGCAGTATTTCTTTTTGCTGACCATAGACTTACTACTCGCGATGACCCTTTCCTGCCTCTTTTATGCCCTTGTATGCATTTCCATCGCATTTTTGACGTGCTTCATTATCGTCTCCTTCGGCATTGTGGAGAGGAATGTTGATGTGAAAGGGAGAGCAATTGTAATTCTCATGTCCAACAGCTCCATTGGGAAGATGTTTGCGAGGAACCTGGATAAAGCAGGCTTTAGGGTGTCTGCTGCATACTGGCCTCCTCGAGAGGAAGGGACAGCTACGGAAGAAGAGTGCTCTTCAAGCATGGAGGCAGCCCAGCTCCACATGACCAAAGATGAGTATCAGAAGACAATGAAAACCTTCATAGAAAGCCACTTATCCCTGAAAGGTAATTTTGGGGGCAGACTTGTGGATTGTGCCTACAGTAGAAATCAAAATGCATGGTATTGTGAGATCATTGTAGTTCATCAGCAAATGAGGGGAGCAAGAATACTTTAGGAAATGGGTCATAACATTCTAACTGCATTGCGTTTTGTTGTGCAAAACAAAAATTTTGCTTTTTCCAGGGGAAGGAGCCTGCTCTGGTGGCTGTGAAAGGCCCCAGTAGACCCCAGTCCCTGGAGGAAGGCAAGGTAGGCCAAGGAATGAGGGGGAGAAGGTCCCACCAAGGCACAGAGGGCTGGACTCACTCTGGGGAGAAAACACAGGGATGAACAAGGCGGGAGCAGAGGCTCAGACAGTGACCTGAGATGAAGGAATGTGTCTGATTTTTAACCTCTTCTGGATTAAAAAACCTGGGGTCCCTCTTGACTTCTTGCCTGGTGTGGGATTCATAAGAAACTGTCAGGTCAGAGCTTTGGCTGGCGGGTTGGGATTGTCTCTCTGAACCACGCTGCTGTCGTTTCTGCGGGGATACGGGACTGAAAGCAACCTGAAGAGCTCACCTGGGACAGCACGAGGCAAGTGTGCGACTGAGGGGATGGCTGTAAGCACTTCTGCTGGGGAATCTCCCCAGTTCTCTCTAGGTGGGAGATGCAGGGTGCCAATGGGCAGGCTAGCTTACACCCTAGCTGAATTAGCTCCACTATCCAGGAGTCTCTGTCCTCGCAGCCGTACTTTTACACCTCTTGGGGGGGGGTGACAGAAAATTCAGCCTCAGCCACCAGGGCTGTAACCTCACTGCCTGCAGGGCTACGGGGTTACAAGAGAAGAAGCCACTGTGAACCTCTCTAAAGCATGTCTGAGCAGTGAAGCTCTCTCACTGCTTCCCCATACTGCCTCTTCCTTTCTCCAGCTTCTCCATCCCTTTCCTCCTTGCTCTTCTCTCTGTGATTTCTCTGAGGTTCCCTTTGAGGTCTCCCCAGGGCAGCCTCACTGCTTGCTCACACTGAGCCGAGATCTCACCATGACAACTGAAAAGACCCTTTGCATTGCTGCCCAGCACTGAAAGTTGTCTTTGTGCTCCCAGGCTCTGCAGAGGAAGGACACTTTGGAAGTCGGAGCAGGCACCACGAAGCCTCCCCTACTGCAGACACCCTTCAGGGAGGCGGTAGGGAACCCTAGCCAACACCTGCTCCTAGCTGCAGCTATTCAGGACACAATGGCACGGGTTATCTCACATTGCTTTTCTCCTCAGAAGCATCCAGCAGACCAGAAGTGCCTGCGGTCAGATCCTGTGTGACTCTGCATGGCCCAGGATACATCCCTCCACATTCACTAGCAGCCTGCAGGCTTCAGGAACGGGTGCACTGCACACCAACAGAGGGTTTCAGACCAAGCACTCAGCTGCCTGCATGAGTATTTAGGCTAATTTGTGCTAGTAGAATTATTCTGGTAAAACTTGCCTGTGTGGACAAGGCCTAAAAGCTCACAAGGCCGAGTACCACCACACACCTGCTCTGGAAACGAACAACAGAGACCTTCTTAACCAGTAATGCTCCATGGGAGCTGGTGATTTCTGTGGGTCTGTGCTCTTTTCATTAAATGAGGATCTGGCCCAGTGATATCTGCCTTTTTTGCTTTTGAATACTTTGATCACTGTGCTAGTTAAGGCATTTTGCAGGTTTTTTTTTGTTTTTTTTTTTTTTTTTTTGACAGTGTACTCTATTGTAGGAACCATGAGGTTTAACATTTAGGATCTCCTGCATACTATTCACACCCCAGATGGGGATGTTAAAATGTATTTCCCAAGAGCTGACCCAATTGCATGGCAGATCAAAGCACTGTGTTGGGGTGGGAGAAGGGAGAGAAAAAGAAAACAAAAGAAACCTCACAGTTTTCTTGGATTTCTTTGTTAACAGTTTCGAATGAATTCTGGTGTTCATACTGTAAGATTTGCTGTAATATTTGTGGCATGGGTTGAGTGAACATGAACACCTGCCACCGGCTGACTGATAATAAAACAATTTAAACCAAATCAAAAGACAACATTGGTAGGTCCCCACATGCAACATGAAGTTTGGTCAGCAGGATCTGGACAAGGAGAGAAAAGAGTTTGTGCTGTAGGGTCAAGACATGGCAGAACCATGATACAAAAAAATTTCTCTTACGTGCTTGTGTGTATGCAATTTTTGGTTTCCAAAGAAAGGAACTTCTGTGCGAGTTTCTATGATTTTTCTTTTTAATGACTTGTCCCCATAGGGAATTTTTACCATTGTATATTTGCTAGTGTAAGTAAAAAGACACTTGTTTGATATAAACACAGCTTTTGAAATGCATCCTAAATGGCTTTCAAAGTAACACAGTGGAGACAGAAGCCCCTAGTCACAGTTCCTTCTAGAATTAAAAGACTTATGACAACTAAAATAATCTATTTTGTATTCCAGTACAGGCCCAGAGACCCAAATTTTCAGATAAGCTAACACCTTTATTTTGTGGTGGCAGTAGAAATTAATAAGGTGCTATTGTGCCTAAGAGATTGTAACACCAAGAAACAGAAATGCAAGACAGCCCCCTTCCAAATTTGTAATGTTTTGTGATAGCTTAACTTGGTTCATAACAAATCTTGGGTTCTCCTGGCTTTTAGTTTTTAGTGCCTTTAGATCAGATGTTTGAACTTTCTCTGTGACCAGGAGGTCAAAGAGATAGGGGGGAAAAAGAGGAGACAAGGGGTCTTAATCGCTCACCTGCAGTAGCTGAGCTTGTACTACCAGATATTGCAAGAGCTCTTGGCATTGTGTCCTAGTGCTCTGGGATCAAGCTGCTTGAGAAATTGCTGCACCGTGTTGCTCTTTGGGCATATTGCCTGGAAATGCTGGCAATTGCTTCGTGATTTTCAGGATTGACTGCAGGGAGGGTGGGGCAGGGCAAGGAGGAAAAACCGTGAAGATGGGCAAGACCTAACAGATGTCAACCTGACCTGACTCAAGAAGAGTTCAGATGACCAGAGCACTGGTCTGATTAATTGCTGCAGCTTCCACTGTACCTTGGGGTTCACCTAATCACATACACAAGCACAGCTGACATGAGGATAAGTGAAATCAGCATTTACTGTGCCATGCCCCAAGACTGCTTGCCTCTGGCTTTGCCAAGAAGAACAAGCCCCAATAAGCTGCCAAGTGACCTTGCCCTGCCAGCCTGCCCAGAGCTCAGCTCCCTGAATTAAACTGCCAGGACAAGACAGAACAGAGAAACCAATGCTTCATGTTTAGTCTCAGCCTTTCTCATGGTTTAGAGATTATTCAAACTGTATTTTTTTTCTTTAGCTGCACCCAAAACGCTTCCAAGGTCTTGAGCTCCTGTCTTCTCCTTTTGGTGTCTTTAGTATCCCTCAGTTCTTTCTGCACTCCAGGCTGAGCTCTGCCAAACTTTATAACATCTGTGGGTCTGTAGATCGCCACTGAGGTGCACAGAGCAGCCATGATGGCAGAGCACTCGGGGGACCTGCCACCCTTCCTTACTCCAAGGATCAAAGTTGGTTTCCTACTACCTTGTCACACTTTTCTCCACTCTTTCTCTCCCACTCCTTGCAGTATTGCTACCAACCACCACTCATCCCAGTTGTTTCCACCTACTTTCTCTTTCCTTGTTTTCCTTCCATTCCTCTGCAATGCCTCAGGTTTCTGCAGAGGAGGTGATACTCAACATGAGCAATGTCTCTGGCTGCACAGGACAGCCTCCCTCCGTTCACTCAGCTCTCTGCTGTGCTGAAGCTGCTTCCAAGAGTCCTGCAGATTATCATAGGGTCAGGATTTAATTTCTTGTACCTGAAATGTACTGGCAGTGGCAAGGAAGGGTGTCCACCGCTGCAGGCACTTGCTCAAGGCGGTATGCCGAGATGCTGGCAGAACTATCCAGAGCACTGAAGCACCAAGGCTTCTAGCAGCCCCATGACTTCTTGGACAGTCTCCACCTCTTCTAAAGGTCAACCTGTTTCTGCAGCTCTGTTCTGCGGTAGGTAGCGGTGGTGGATGCTCTCCCAGTGCTTTCACTTGCCTTGCACCTCTCCTTCAGCATCCACCTGCTTTGGTTAGTGATACACTTTAGTCCACGGAGGCACTCTTGTGACAGAGCCAGAAAGCCAGACCCTACGGTGGGGCCTGAGCAGGAGGAGGCAGAGACACATTTGAACTGCTCCCTCGTGCGACAAACGCACCGTAGAAATTCTTTTGCTTCCTAAGGGTATCAACACAGTTGATCAGATTATTTTATTAGCAGGTAACCCTTCCTCACTCACTTTCCCATGCTACACTTACCCGAGGATAAAAGGCTAGACCATACGATCATGCCTAAACTCGCAACAGAAAGTTCAGCTTTCTTTTGCAACAGTATAGTTTAGGGCAGGGCATGAGCAAGGAAGAGTCACAACGACCTGCCATTCCCACTCACTTCAGAGATGGATTGAACAGACGCCGTAATCATTGACTGCAGTAAACTACAGGGAAGTAGGAATTATGAATGAATAAAGCAAACGAAATCATACACTCATGCAATTTTAAAGGGTATTGCATTATTTAACTTCACTCAGCTACAACTGGAGGCCACCTTGGATAACTCAAGCCATTTTCCAGGCTGCAAATGGCCATGCTTGGAGTTGTGAGTCAAATGATTAATTTCTGTAGCTATGCTTTTGTGCCTTTAATATAGGTTATCCAGAAGTCTTTGAAAAACAGGCTTTCAACTATATTGCCTTCCTATCTCCTGGGGATTTATCAAAACTAGAGAAGCACTGTGATAGAGCAGCCATCCAGGCTATGAAACAACCCAGACAGAGAAAACTGAACTTGTTCTGAAACTATAAGTTGAGAGGAATTATTTATTTTGGGATGCAGGAAAGCTTCCCATTCAAAACTTCCTCTTTAAAGTAAGAATCTATACCTCATCTACAGTCAATGTGCTTTTTTATTTTTCCAAAAGAAGCTACGCATCAACACCTCTGGACATTTTATGGGAGGCCAATTTTCACTTCCCTGAAGCACTTCTGTAATTCTGTTGTTTCAACAGACAGCTTCTCTGCCAAGAGGCAAGCACCCTGAATGTACACATAAAAACACATAATTGAGGAGTTACACAATCCAGAAAAGCTGCGGCAACACCTCTCCTCCTCCATCCTCATCCCTCACTCATCACCAGTGGGCAGAGCCCCTTTGGGTTTGAAACCTCCGTGCCCCACATCACATCGCTGCTGCCGCCGGGCCGCGGGGGAAGGCTGCGTGCTGGAAGGGGCTGGCACTTCAGGTCCTGTGCAGAGTCCTCGGGGCTCCCCGTGATCGTGGGCTTTAATCCTGGCAGGGATCAGGCCCGCCAGCTAGCCTGACCTGTATTTTATAGGCCAGAGAACTCCACTGAGATTACAAAAGAACAAGCCAGGCAGCCAGCCATGGGGAAATAGGCGGGCAGGGAGAGCGGGAGCCGAGCTGTGAACAGTGAGTTCGGTTTGCTGTAAAACGCAGCAGGTACCTGTGAGCCCCCCACTGTGCACATCAGCACTTTGTTGATCCGTTTGTTGCTTGCTGGAGGATTTCTATTTGCAAACCAAGGTTTTTAAGCAATAACTAAAAATGCATATGGGTCTGCTGTATATTAAAAAGTGAGCATTTTATTTGCATGCATACAGAACATGTTGCCGTGTTCACTGCTAATATCAGCCATGCATGTAACTATGGACAGAGAGGGAGGTAAAAGAGCCATATGCTGTCATGATCTTTTTTAGCTTTCTTCCAGATCTTATGTTTGCAGACAACATGAACAGATATGGATCATTTCTCAAAAAGAAACCAAACAAAGCTCAAGTAGTCGGATACTTATGTTATACTAGCTCCCAAATTCCGCCAGAAGCTTTCTTCAGCATCCTAAAGCAATACCCCCTCAGACTGCTTCTGCTTAGCTCATATGAATTCTACTCCCATGGTATAAGTTTATCTTACAACAAACCCTAGACAAGAGTTTAATTTCCAAGCTTCATCAGTCATTAAAACACAAAAGACTGAAGGGTATTTTTAGAGATCAGCAGGAAGATATCTGTATTTATGACACGTCATTCTTGAAACAAACAATCCACACACTTTCATGCAATTGCACTGGTAGGATTAGAGATGCAAAGTAAAATAAAAACAAAAGTATCTGAGAAGCTATTTATTTATCACCCATGCATGATGCTGAACTAATCTCTGATTCTGTAAGTCACTGGAAATATTCACAGATGTAACATAACCTTTACACTCATTTAAAAATGTCCCAAACAAGAGCTTAACTTTGTACCAGTTTAGAAACACTGTCTTTCATTAACCAGAGTTGGACAGCTTCCAACTACAAATAGTTTTGAAAAATACCAGGATTAGAGCTTGAGAAGTTTCTCCCTTTGAGAGAACGCAGCTTGTCAGAAAGAGTGTTTGGAGACTGTGTGCACCTGAAATTTTTCCTCCACCGCTCACCTCAAACCTACAGGAAAATTTTCTGGAGGACAGTTTTGACAGGGAAAGGGAACCAAGTGGAAAGTTTTTGCAACTCTGGCTTCTCACGTTACAGTGTTTGGAGACAGAAACCTTCTGAACTGTCCTAAGACATATGCTTAGAGACTTAATATAAATTACGTAGTAAGACTGAACATGCATAAAAATTTAATACTTCTGTATATGGTAATTAAATACTTCCTTGATACATATAAATTAATTATCTGTTTTATTACAGAAATTCTGAGTAGATTATTTATTTATTTTAAATCTTCTCTCTTGAAATTTCCTGTCCAACTGGCAAACTGTTTTCCCAGGTAATACAGAACAATTGATGTGGCCTTTTCAGTAGCAAAAGGGAAAAAACTCTGTTCTGCGGAGTTCTTGCTGCAGGACAGAGGACTTGGCTGGGCCTGTGGTCGGCTCAGCCCTGGGAGCTTCATTTTGGCACTAAATTGTTCCTCTGGTTCCCTGAGGAGGCTCTGGGAGGAAATGTCCAGCAGGTATGACCTGTGGTACCAAAGGT